TTGTGCTAAATTTCCTAGCGTATTTTAAAGACTTAAAATTCCCACATTAAAGAGCTAATCCACTTTTTCATTAAAATTTACTTGCTTTATGCTCATGTTACGAACTAATAGCCAACATAATCTTCTATTCAGAAACTAAGGGGTTTTTGAGTTATATACACAAAAAAGGCATTTTAAATCAAAACTGTCTATCCACATTTCACTTTTGTATCTCTGAGGGCCAAAACAGATTTTCCTTTAATTTTGTTCAGGGAAAAAAATCTTCCCCAGGCTAAGATCTTGTATGTCAAATCTAATCTCAGAGTGAATTATAAACTACTCATAATAAGGCTTTATATTAATGGAAGCATGGTTATAGCCCTCGCTATAATATGGTATCTCTGGTTTCAATTATAGTTTGCACAATGCAATATATCTTCAGGAGTATCTCATGTAATTAATCAGGTAGTGGTGTAATGCAGACTAGAATAAGGAGAAAACCAGGCATTTGTCGTTTTACAGAGATGGAGAGGGATTTTATTAGTCATTTAGTGAGAGCGGCTCTTTCCTGGTGCCAGAAGATTAGTGCATGCTGGTGTACTATTTTTGTCCCTCAGTGAGCACAGTTTTAAGTTGCTCTGGAATTACACAGAGAAGCTATACATGATTAGCACAAAGTAAAATTGATTTAAAATAAATTAGTACTGCAGATCTCTTTTCACAGAGTTTCACTTTGGTCCTGGTATGAAGGGTTTTGCTGTAAAATGGGTTTTATCAATTAAGATCAAAGAACTGTAGAAATCAGAGATGGAGAAAGTCTTGTCAGGTCATCTCTTTTATCAATACAAGAACACTTTCTACAGCATATTTCTCTAATACATATTCAAACTTCATTTTCAAGACTAGAATGAAGGGCTTCCACTGTTTCCTTTTGCAGAATATTTCATAGTTGTATAAACTTTCTTTATTCCTGACAGCATCTCTGAAATTTCTTTTTTTTTTTCTATTTTTTTCTGAATTACAAGTTTTCAGATTTTTCTCACACCAGTTTTGTTTGTCAATGTTTATATCCTTCTGTGGTTTCTGAACAGGTTTCTGTGTTTGCCTCTTCCAGAGCCAATGTTTAAACTATCTGTATCACTCTTTTATCCTTTCCTCTTGATCCGGTGTTATTAGCTCTTTAAAAGTACTTTTTGCTGCTCTCCTCTGAAATTTCCCCAGTTTACAGGCATGATTTGGCTTCCGTCAGTGCAGGGCACCAATGCAGAACTCTCACTGGAGTTGTCCAGAAAGGATTATTCATATCCTTGCCCACTTAAATGAAGACTTGACCTTTTTTTGTAGCGTTTGTAATTGTGCATGGATTGCAGTTCACTACTTATCCGCACCCCTCAGCTTTTTCAGAATTATCCCAGCTAACTCCCCAACGCTGAATAATTGTATGCGTCTTCCACTTTTTCGGCAGTCCCTTTATTAGTTACGCTTGCAGGTCTCCAGCATTAGGGCTCTTCAGCTTGGAGAACAGATAACTGAGTACTAAATAGGGTATGATTATACATATTTCCTATAATATAAAACACAGGAACATCAAATGAAATGGCACAGGGATAAACAACACAATTTCCTTTGTCACGTTATGCATATTTAAATTGTGGAATTCACTACCTGAGTGCATTTTGTATGTCAAAATCAGTAATAATTATAAAACATTATTAGACTAATAGAATAATTTTTAAAAAAATGTATTAAGCTCAAAAGAGCAAGCTCCTCCCAAGGAAGTTCCTAAACTACTGGAATTCCTGAAGTACTGGAAGGTGTTGCAGCAGAAATGTCACTTTATACTTACCTTTCTTGATATCATTCCTGAAACATCAGTGAAGAACCTGGTCAAATACAAAATACTAAATGAGGTGAACCATAGATGTTATCCTCTACAATCATTTGTTGTTTATATTCTACTAACGTTAGTACTTAAGTAGATCTCCAGCTGAACCTTGAAAAAGCCACCAGCTTCCAGTCTAATTTTTATGTTGGCTAAAATCATTCTCAGTTTTGCAGGTGGGTAAAAGGAACAACTTTTTGAAAAGAAACGTACTGGTGTGACCAGTTCAGCAGCTCATTTGATGCAAGAGATCTTTTTCCCCTTTACTCCACTCAGCTGCTGGCTTTCCTTAATTTACATGGTAGCATGAGCCAGACGGTCGATCACTGAAAGCATTTAGGTATGTGTGGAAAACCTCATTTTTCTCAGCCAAAAGAGACATAACAAATAAACTTCATTTAAGAAAAAAAGTATATATACAATCACAATTAAAATGATGGTTTGCATGGTTTACACTTGTATATCATACAGAAACTAGGAGAAGAATGTAGAAAATTACAACTTCCAATAGGGACCAAAGGAAAATTATTCGATCCTTATAAGATACCCAGTGACTTCATGCTTCTGTATATGCTTCCTGTCTCAAAAAATAACACTGCGATCATTTCAAGGCAATGATGTAGTAGCCAGGAGGACCTGACCGTGTATCGAGTGGTGTCAGTGGCAATACTGTAAATGACTTTCAGTGCTGCAGGATCACGTGCGTAAGCAGCATCCTTTGTTTTTCAGAACCTCGCAGAACATCGCTGCTACTGTTCAGACCTGTGGCAGTTATATACTTTTTATATCTTAGGAGAATAGGCTCTGACAGCACTTGTGCTGTATTTCACCATATGCAGCCATGGAAAAAAAGTGAAGCACAAGCACAGAACAGATGCTCTTTATATATAAGTTTAAAATAAATTTGTTTGTGACATATTCTTGTTGAGCCCTAGAAAAATCCTCACTGAGATAAACCTGTGGCATGACCTGTTTGGTTATAACAGGTGTGTTTTAACAGCAAATTGCAATAGTTACCTCTTTCTGACAATAGCACAGTTAAATATGTTGCAGTCTGTTAGATATGTCTTTTTACCATGTAGAAGTGATAGAGTTGTCTGGCTGCAAAACCTAATAATCCAGCTCTGCCAGGAATATTTTCACCATGGTCAAGCAGACTGAAGGCAAAATACAAATGTTCCAATTTTATAAACCACAGGATCTAGCTACTACACATTTCTTGCTAAATATTCCGTGTTTTCACTTAGGGTTCTCAGTCAGACAGTCCAATGATACCAGGTTTATTACTGAACTGTAGCTTAAAAATAGCTTTTTCAAGCATTTTTCAAAGCTACTCCTGTAAACTTCACCCCATTATCTGCTGTACATGTTTCCTCTTTTGTAACCACTGAGCCTTTACAGTGGTAGATGTGCTCTAATTGCACCTTAAAAATAGATCCTTCCTCAGTAGAGATACGTAGATTTCTTCAGGTGCTGATTTACTTTGGAATGATGAAGTCCTATGTCAAAGGAACACTTGTACCATGGACTCCTTAATATGAGTGAGAATTAAGAACTTAGCTACTTAAAGAATTTGGGCATAATGTCCTCATATTTTTCTTACCTCCAAGACCTTTGTTGTTTCCATGTTTTCATGGTATTTATTTTTGCAGAATTGTTTAATTTAATTTTAAATATTCTTTTTAAGGTGTGTTGGGTTAAATCAAACCTTGCTGATTAAAGATAGTTTCTCCAAAGCTTGTTGTCGGTGGTTGTTTTAATTGTAGTACAGACTGTTCTTTCATACTGCCTCCCAGCTCTTTAGGCATCAGAGTGTCTCAACAGTGCTACAGTGATCTTCTTCATATTACTGTGGATTGGAACATCAAAATTTTACTACAAAACCAGACCAAATGTCACAAAATGGTATTATCAAGGGCTCAGAGACCAAACATTTTCCACTTTCTACAACTGAAAGACTTGTAAAATTATTTATTTCAACTGCAAAAAAACAAAACAGCTTACTAAAACCTGTACGTTTGTTAAACCAAATAAAACCAAAGTCTAATGAAGTCAGTAGCATTATTCATCTTGACTTAACGGGTTTTGTTTATACCTCACTGCAGAAATTATGTGCAATTTGGAAAGGTTTGTTCACCGTGACTTAAAGCCATCCTATCCTACCACAAAAATTAATTTAAATTAATTGTTAAATTCTATTAAACTGTTAAATTCTAGCAGCAAGCAGTTTTCTTTTTTTAGGATACTTTTTCCTTCCTTTAACTCTCCTTCCTGAAGGGGAATGTATCTTTTCTTTCCATTCACATGTTCTTTGTACACTTTTCAACTCTTCCAACCATTCTTTCTACATCTCTTTAGTCTATTGCAAGCCATTCAATTTCCAACCTTAGGAGAAAAAAAATATTTTCATCTCTTCTTTATAATATTTCTGCTTCTTTCTGATGTAATTTGACTATATAATTGGTTTCTTTTAGAATCTGTAGAGAAAACAGTGCTAAATTATTTGTGATACCTCTAAGCAATCATATTCTGTTGCATTGTATACAAGTAATAACTCCACTAGTAAATCATTCTTGCTTTATATCAGATGCTTTGAATCAGATTTCTCATAAGTGTAAAACAAAATCATTGCTTTTTCCATCCAGATTGTCACTGCAAACAAACAAGCTGAAGCTATGGAAAGTGTAGATGGCTGCAGCTTGATTTTGCTATCATTTATTCCATTAAAATCAATGGAGTTGTACCAATGTAAGCTTGATGTAGGAAAGAATCAATTTCTGTATACCTATTAAAACCTAAATCATAGTTATAGATAGATAGCTGTGTAAAAAGTATAAATTTGATTTTAAAAAGATATATTTTATACACCAACAGGTTCAATTGCATGCAAATAACATGCACATTATGAATCCCGGTGAAATGTAGTCAGAGAAAAGAATATGATACTGGTCTAATAAAGTGAATGCAAAGTCATGCATTAATCTTGAATTATCAAGATAAAATCTACAACTTCTTGCACAATACTTAATATATACCTGATAGGAAAACAAGAATGTTATTTAGACTCATTAATATGATTTGGTTAATAGTCCCCTTGTTAATACAACCTCTTTTTTCTTTCTTTTTTACTGCTTAATAGAGAAGAAAATCACGTTATTCGGACCTTGACTTTGAAGTAAGTTTTACTGAATTATTCCTGATTATTAAAATATTTTCCTAAAAGTAAATGTGAAGTGTTTATTTTAGCAGATTTTGGCCTTCTGACATAGTAGATGTCATAGGGTTGTTTAATTGGTACTATACAGAACATGATGAGCGATTCATTAAAACTACTTTGGTGCAACTTGTTTGTAAAATATTCTGAGATCAAACTGTCATACTGCAATATTAACCATCATGGTTTCAGTTTTTAAATTCTCTGCCTCCCCATTTTCATCTGGAACGTTGTTTTTTTTTTTTGCTGGCTATTTATTGAAAAAGTGTTACAATTCTGTAGAACAGGCCACATTTTTACAGAAGGTTGCTTTGTTCAAGAGATTCTCAGTCATTTGTTCTATCTCTCTTTCTTCAATACTAATTTACTGGCATATAGGTTTCACATCCAAATAGTAATTATGAATGTGTCAAAATTTGAATGATGAAGTGCTGCAGTTGTCAAAGCTTATGGATCACATGCTATATAAAAAATCACGTTCATGTAAGTTTCTTTAGGTTGGATAGCCACAATTTCACTTGGATAATCCACTTAGTCCCTGTTGAGTGAGAAGGTTTGGTTGCATTAGTTAATGACCGTTTTGTTCTATATCAGTCAGTATGATTAAGTCTCTTAGTTTTGTTTATTTGAGGTTTTCTTCTCTGCTCTCTACCAGAAGCAATACAGCAGTTAGTTTTCAAGAGGATGTTAATAATTTATGGATTTGGGGTTTTTGCACAGGTTGTCTGTTCGTGCATATTAATAGTTTGATATAATTCATTATATGTGTCTCCAGAGAAGCTGAGCAATCATAATATCTGCATGGAACCTACAGATCTCAGGCTAAGCTTTAATATCCAGTGATCAGTATATATCAACCATGACTTTAAAAATCACCCTGTCTGTCTGTATGTGCAAACAAAAGCATTTGTTGTTATTATTTGGGCTGTAAGCACAGCACATATACCTTCAGATTTCAGATTCTAGTCCATAGAAAAGAAAGAGGCAGAACAAGCAAAATGCAGCCGTCGCAGTGGTCACAGAAGCTTTGCAAGAGAGAAGGGTTTGTTCTGGTGACCTGTTTTTGCTGAAATGCTGACCTTCTGTGTCTGATTGTAGTTTCTTGGTAGTTTCACGCCTTAATCTCCTATATCATTTTCCCCCAGAAGAGTACACTTACCTTAAGCTGTCATGTAACATCTCAAATAATGCACCAGATGAAGATTCACACAGTAAGTTTAAGGAAAATAAAATGAAAAGATTACCCTAAATATGCTTTAGGATAAATGCATAGAAAGGAAGAAGAAAAACATGAATCAACAACAAAATTCTGATAAGCAAGCAATCCTAAAATTAAATTCAAGCAATAAGAACAGAAGTTTTATAATTATAGTGGTATAAATAATTCTGAATTTTACTTTTCTTTATTGAAAGGTAGGAATATCATGCTGTTCATGATGAGAACATTCTCTGTGGCAACAGATACTAAAACATTCTTCCTATCAGTCAGGAGAGTATAATCCAACACCAAATAAACACCAACAATGCTGTACACATTCTCCTCTCAGGAATAAGGCCTCCTTTTTTTTTCTTTTTTTAACTCACATAGTTTTTTTAAGATGCTTATACCATTTTTTGTCTGATTTGCAGCACTGTTGCTCCATGGCCTAATATTTTTAGAAGTACGATTATAACGCAGGAAAATATATTTGTTTGCAAAAAGGGAAGGATGGGGACATTGGGAGTGACTGTTGACAAAGTGCCAGTTGCTGCTGTGTTTTAGAAGTACTGACTCAGACTAACCTCATCTCACCTCCCTGTTTTATGGTTCCTCTGATTAAGCCCATGGGCTTTCCTGTGTTCTCACACATAGCATGGCTGTCTGTCTGAGGTAAAGCAAAATAAAGCCATAAAATGTTCGAAGAGCCACCCAGATTCCTCCACTTAGCAAGGCATCCTGATGAAGGGAACTGAGGTAGTGTTGTGTGGCCAAAACGCTGCTATTCTGACCTCAAAGTGCTTGACTGCAAAATAGAATAGAGCCTGGAGGCCAGGTTGAGCTAGAGTGATTGGCCGTGCTACTTAAATGTTTAATAGTTTCTTTTCTTTGTCTGTGACCAGTGCCAGCTGGCACTCTCTGAGACAACGTCCTTCCACAGTTCTGAGGATAACAAATGTTATGGATGTGGTTCTGAGGATAACAAATGGTAAATATGCAGTATGGACAAGACTGTGCCAAGCTTGGCTCGCTCCACCCTTTTCCTTTTAACACTCTCCCAGCAGCACCTACACTCTCAACCTATCACACATGTATCTCCATACCCATACAAGAGAAACCCTCAGGCTATGCTTATGTTACTAAATTAGACATTTGGGGAAATATTCCTGGATGTTAAAATGCCAGTTTTTATACGGATGAATTTTTAGAATGATCTCCACTATTTTAGTCCAGACCATCATCGTCTCTTCCAACAGTTCTTGAAATGTCTCTAGGGAACCAGCGCAACCTAGGTACCATTCACAACAAGCAGTTTGGTTGTAGACTTCTTAGTTTGGAGACCAAGAGAATTTAGAACAATTTATGGAGAACATTCCATGCTAGATGGTGCCAGAGAATGGTCTTGGACATGTTTGACTACTGTAGAGTCACAGTTTTATAGAACCATAGAATCACAGAATAGTTTGGGTTGGAAGGGACCTTTAAAGATCATCTAGTCCAATGCCTCTGCAGTGAGCAGAGACATCTTCAACTAGATCAGGTTGCTCAGAACCTCATCCAACCTGACCTGGAATGTTTTCAGCGATGGGGCATCTACCACCTCTCTAGGCAACCTGTGCCAGTGCTTCACCACCCTCATCATGAAAAATTCCTTCTTTATGTCTAGTGTAAATCTGCCCTCTTTTAGTTTAAAACCCTTATGCCTTGTCCTATCACAACAGGCCCTGCTAAAAAGTTTGTCCCCGTCTTTCGTATAACCCCCCCGAAGTACTGGAAGACCTGCAATAAGATCTCCCTGGAGCCTTCTCTTCTCCAGACTGAACAACCCCAACTCCCTCAATCTTTCTTCATAGGAGAGGGGTTCCAGTCCTCTGACCATTTTTGTGGTCCTCCTCTGGACCCACTCCAACAGCTCCATGTCTTTCCTGTGCTGAGGGCTCCAGAGCTGGACACAGTACTCTAGGTGGGACCTCAGCAGAAGAGTTTAAAAAAAAAAGTTCATGGCTAAAAAAAAGACTGTGCTAGTGGGCTGCAATGCAACAGTCACCTTAATATGGACAATTTGAAGTAAAACCAAAGAAACACAAGAAAACTATTTTTTTTCTGAGGGTCGCAGATGAAACTCAAAGCCAGCTGCTATGCAGTGTGAGCACAGACAGACTATGACTGTACTCAATGCTATAAAATACTCTCTGTTCCTGTTATCTCCAACGTATGTAGAAATACAAGTGTAGTTTTAAGGGCCTTTTCAGTGGACTATAAATAATAAAAGTGCTGTGACTGTGCTGGATAGTGTTATAGAAAACTTAAGTCTCCAGTTGAAGGAAAGAGAGAAAGAAAAAGATGACCTTTAAACTGGCTAGCCCTTATCACAGATCTTAAGCTGGTTAGAGAGGAGGCTCTCAAAAACTGGGCCACCTGTATCTTGTTTTCCCTTTTTAAATAGTTTACCATTACATTCTTAAATTATCCTTTTCTGTAGAAAAAGGAAGAAAAACTGTAACATGCTGGGTTTAGTCTGTAGGCAGAAGGTATTTCTGCTACATAATATACTGTCCATTATCAGATTTTGCAAAACACTGACTAATCTAGTTGAACTTTGAAGTTTGCTAAAATGAACAGTCAACCTGCAACAGCATCACAACTCTTTTCGTGCTATTACCAAGGATTGATTTAGACCCATTCATGCAGTCTAAATGCAGTCTGGTATCCAAAACATGACCAAAATTCATAGGTCTAAGTGTTTTGGATTCTTTCTGCTGGCTGTGGTAACCCCAGCCAAGTGCCCTCCAACCCCAGCCATTATGTGCTGTTTTTCCCTAAAGCTGGAGGGGGAGCTTCTTCATGAAGGCTCAGCACTAATACTCAGCTGTCCGAGCAAATAAAACTCATTCTAATTACGTTGAACAGAAATACAGATACTGTGGAAATTCCCAGGAGGACTTTATAATAGGTATGCGCTGACACTTACAAAAACATACAGGAGAGTTAAACAGTATTATTGACATGCATTTTAGGATTCAAGATCACAATTACCTTTAAATTCTATGAGAGGGTCTGACTCCTGGATTTCCCCAGCCATCCAACTCACTCTCCCCGTTTTATGAGGCATTAATTGGATCTACTCTGGTAATAACATTTATGCCAAATAATTCAGAGAACTGCCTAATTACCCTGCTCCCCAGGATTCAAGTCATCGCTGTCTCTTTTTGTGCTCCACCCATGAGGGAGGGCAAGGATACACAGAACTAATGTGAATACCAGAATGTCTTCTTTCCACAGAGCAGTATATTCTCACCAGCAACAACGCTAAATTGATCATTAATTGCTGGAGCTGCATTCTTTCAAAATTTCACCTGCAATAGCTATTCATTATAAGAACATTACAAACTCACACAAAAGTTTAAAATAACTCTCTTACTAATCTGAAGATATTTCGAAGACAAAAGTGAAAAAAATATGCCCGCAGGGAAAAATCCTTTCCCATTTCTATATTTGGCAACTGATCATACCTATAACATCTTGAAAACACAGCATGTTTCCATTATAGGGCTGGGAAGGCCTTCCCCCATCTGTTCTTTTCACTTATCTGTTTCATACAATATTTGAGAGAGAGCATTTTAACCTGTGACAATATAGAAGATCTCCAAAGCAAATTGAATTACATTATTATTATTATGAATAATAATAATAAGAAGAAGATTGGCCACAAATCTTCATGAGAACATTTGTGCTTGAGCTAGAGTTCAGCTAAAAGCCTGTCATAGATAAGAAAGGGAGATGGGTACAGAGTTATGTTTGAGGTCCTTCCCATCTTCATGGTAGCCATCCACACTCTGAATCCTCTTCTGAGAGTAGATGCTCATTGGAATAAGGCTTAATCTTTTCAAAACACACACTTGATGTTACTTGTGAGTGGAGGTAGAAATGTGGAAGGGGTGTCAGTTCTGTTTGAGCCCCTTTACAGCGCGGGCTTTCATTCCTGAGTTTCATGGAGCCTGCAGGAAAGACCACAGAGGATGTGCATCTGTAGCCTGGTGGCTAACTCAGGTGCTTCTGGAGGGATGTGGCATTAATGGGCAAATCCCCAGCTGCACCTAAAGAAGGTGTGCTTTCAAAGGGCAGCATGAGAGGCTCCTTTTCCATCCCGTTCAGGTTCTGTTGCTACTACAATCATCATAGTATATATTGGTTAAGATCTCCAGCTCTGTAATGATAAAAAGTATGTATTTCTAAGACTGATAAAGCTGTGTTCTCCACATTGTCTATTTAATAGAGAAAAACAGAATAACCCCCCACAAATATGTTGTGGGTGATTTTCTCATGAGAGAGAGTTACCCAATGCAGCATATATTCTAGAAAGGAGATAAGATGATGCTTTCTAAGAAGGAATTGAAAAGAAGTCAAGAAAAGAGTTAAAGTTGGAAATTTAAGTTACTGCACCTACAGTTCAGATCATTCCTTATAAGCAGTGGGGAGGAGCAGGTGTCAGTGGGTAGGAATTATGGCATGAAAGCCAAGAAAACACAAAGCAACCAAAAGATCCATAGGTATATGTGCATACCAGTCATTCTGCTATTAAGAATAAAATGTAAAGCCTTTTTTTCTGGCAGACTTCCCACTGCAAGTGTTCAATTTCTCCTCCCACCTGCTTCTCTTCAAGAATAATGTAATGAACTAAGACATTTGCATTATTCATATTTGTTATTTAACAAGTACACAATTCAGAAAAATATCAGAAAGTAACGTTCTCTATATTCCTAACCTTCTATTAAAAAGTTTCCAATGGGGGATACTTGTTTCACAATCATGTGCTATTTCCTGCTTTTAGAGCCAGTATTTTAACCCACTAAATCTGTTTTATTCCCTTCAGCATGTCTCCTTATTTCATCCAATAATAATCTTTGAGGTAGAACCTTTCTTTTTTAAATTCTATGTTTATGGGATTTGCCATTTATCCCTGTCTAGCATAGATCAATAGCTTAAAAGAATCCCTAGGAAGTCACTTAAGTGAAACTTCCCTCATAAATTTACATCAGCTATCTCCTCACCAAACCCTGCAAAATTGTTTCCCTTTTTCACCCCACAACCCATGTTAAGTTAATAGGTCTTTAATTGCTTGCTGTATCTCATGTCTCTTCTGTGAATAATGTTGCCAATTTCCTGTTCTCAGAAGTGAAACAAGTTCTCAAGCTACAGTGGAGCTTTATCAAGGTTGATATGGTTATTACAGCGTAGTGGTAGAAATGCGTGGCCAAAAGAGCAGCCACATTTCGTGAAATTTATAAACACAGAATGCAAATGAAAGATGAAAGTTAAAATTGATATTGGTAAAGCATTATTTGATGGTCAGCTACAGCCACTCCATTTTAAAAGGTGCTAACCCAGACTTGGCAGAAACGTTACTTGCTGGGAAGGGTCACACTCAAGCATTGCATACGCAAATTTGCAGGGTTTGTCATACACAACGCCAGGGAAAATCAAGCTTGACAATTAGTGGACATACATAGATGCTGGTCTCCTGCACCTTTTCTATCAACAATATTGGCTGTAACTCAAGTTCAAGCAGTTACAAAAGCTTAAGAAAAGCCAAGCTGAGCCCATCTGCTGTTGGACTGAGGTGAAGCATCCTCAGTCCCTCCTGTCCCCGTCCACCCAGACCACAGAACCATGAGATTGGTTGGACAGCAAGCAGCCTTCGGCTTTGCTCCAGAGGCCGGTCTGAATCCATAGCTGAGCATGAACTTGTTTGGAAGCAACGCAGATGGTACGCTTGACAGTCTAGGCTTGAAAACAGGCTTCATTCTCCATGTAGCTGCCAAGGCAGATACATGGCCGAGGGCTCCTCCAACTGTGGGAGCTGCTTGGGGTCCCCACCTCTTGCACAGGAGTGCCATATAATTAGGTTTTGTGGAAAAGCGAGGTGTGCATGGGCTAGAGGGAGGGTGGTTTCCAGTTGCCCAGTCTATGAAATAAGAAAACAAGTAAAAGTGAAAAACTGTGCCTTCTTTTCTTAATATGAATGCCATTTCAACTACATTTTACGGTGATCTGAATGACAAAAATATGTCTAATTAAAAAGACATAACATTTGGGGTTTTTCCGGTTTGGGCCAGGATTTCTGAGTTCAGTGTTCTCATAAAAATCATTCTTATAAGGACCATTACAAACTGCTGTTGCATTCCTATAAAAATTAAAATACTAGCAGCCGTGCTGAAAACAGAAATTCTATAAAATATTCCTAATGTGCAAGAGAAATATCCTTCTGAGAAACTGCCATCACTTTCAAAATACTTCTAGACTAGCACAAAAACAGTGTCCCTTGATTTCAGCAACTCAATAAATGTGGGGTAAAAACAGTCTCTTGTGTGCAGGAAGAACATTAAACAGAGCAGAGGGAAGGGTCAGTGCAATTCACCTCCATTGGTTGAGTCTATAGGGAAAAGATGGCCCTGCCAAATTCAATTCACTTATGTTCGGGAAAATAATGCTTCTCCTAAAAAAGCACAGATTCAATTATAAATATAAACAATTATGTTCCATTTTGCAGAAGGTCATGCATACAAGAAAGAGGCACATGGAATTGTTTCAAGAGTTAAATCAGAAATTTCAGACACTGGACAGATTTCGGGATGTACCAAAATCAGGCAGTATGGTAAGTTTTCCTTCTTAGGTGTTTAAAATATGATGGATCCTTAACAACACCAATGAAACAAGAGTCCTTTGAATTCAATGTTATTTCCCTAGAAGACCTCACTCTGTGCTACCTTTAGATAACCTCAGAAATTAGAACAAAATATATTTTCAGTAATCTAACCTGTGACGAGACTCATTAGATTTTACAACTCAACCATAACTAACTCACTGACATCATTGTAGATGACAAGTAATTGAACTGCAGGGAACATATTTCAAATCTGTATGAGCCTACCAAGTCTAAAGGACTTTATATACAGAAAGCAGCTCACTAATGTAATTTGATGAGCAGGACTTTTCTTCTAGCTAGGCAAGCAGATATTAAATTAGTTCCTACAAACAAGTCCAGCTAGATTCACCTATACACGAGACGGTCCAGAAAGTACACAGGGTCTCTGCAGTGCCGTGTCTTTTCCATAATAGGTTTATAAATATTTACCATCAGAAAAGCAAAAATTAAATCATCCTGAGTTGACTCTGCTATCATCATAATTCATATTTATACACACACACACTCATACACACATGCATAACACCCTGACTACATTTGATAATGAGAGCGAGTAAATAGTTGATTCTGTCTAATTAAAACAGCTAATTTAGTGTGAGATATCTGTTAGCAGTAATATTATGATTAGTAATAATTTTATGTTTAATTTTATAATGTGAAAATTGTATATTAAATGGAACTGAGCTAGAATCATTGTATTCTATAACTTTTTCAGAAGAACTGCTCTCAGACATGAAGAAGAGGTATTAAGCAGATGTGAGGCCAATGGATTTACATTATTTACATCATCTTAATCCAGCAGAAATTTGGCCCTGATTCTTTGATGAACCTTTAACTGTGATATGTGTTATTTTGCACCCAGTTCTTGCTCACTCCCCCTTCTGAGATTTGCTGACGTGTAAAGTTTGCATTCGCCTCCCTATTTGAGATTTGCTTTCCATGTAAAGCTTGAATTAATTCCAAATCTCAAAGGGAATCTCAGTAGAAGAGTTGCGTTTACTCTGTTTTGCATCAGCGCTATGTTTTTGAAAGGTCTGCTAATAAAAGCTGCCTAGAGGAATGGTCAATTTGCAAGACAGTCTGGAGAGTGATCCAGGTACCTAAATATAGGCATCTCGGGCTATTTTGGACAGCCTCAGGTGTCTTAGTCTACAGCACAGAACAGGCAGTAATGACACAGGACTCAAGGGAGACTGAACCTCTCATGAAAGATAGTTGGAGATCAGGCAGAAAATCCAAAGACATCCAAAATGGTGCAAAAATGTTAAGTATTGGCAACTAAGTCCCATCCAGCGTGTTACAGCAGAAATCACTAATTAAATTGGGTTTAGTCCCAATGTTTTTTACCCTATAAAATTTATCATTCAAAAAAAAAACCCCAAACCTTTCAGTAGAAAATAACCAGCTTTCAGCCTGTTAATCCTAATACACATGAGCTCACCAGCCTGTAAAGCAAGGTGGCTCTCACAGCATTTTCAAGGAGTAGGTTTCTGTGGTTCTGTCCTGCACCTGCCCCAGTTTAAAATCCAGATGGCAATCTCTGTTTCCAACCATTCCATATTTCAAGGAGCAATCTCTTCTCAATTACCTTCCTTTCTCTTCTCCCGCTTTGCTACACAACTGTTGTTAAAAAGATGGCTATTGGTACTGGATCACTCGGCCATTCCTCACATATATTGGTTCTTCTGAAAGAGAGGGCCTGGCTGGCAGCTCAGGTAAGGAGCCTGCCAAAGTGTTGATTGTTCACAGAGAAAGAGTCACAATGGTGCTGAACACCCACCAGCCTTGCTCCCTGCAAAGCCATTTTCCCTCTCTGGCTTCTGTGTCTCATGAGAGCACGTTAGCGATCAGCCTTATAAAAGGGAAACACGCTCTTTCATCCTTAGTTTTAATTCTTCTTTCTTCGGTCTTCAGGAGAACTCGGCACCGAGCAAGGCTCCATGGGACAATTTCAAAACCACAGGCGACTACCAACACTATACAACGATAAATGTATTAGACACAGAGGCAAAAGATGCTTTAGAACTCAGACCAGCAGAATGGGAGAAGTGTCTGAACTTGCCTTTAGATGTGCAAGAAGGTGACTTTCAAACAGAAGTTTAACAAAAAACAAAAACTGAACAAAACAAAAACAACGACAACAAAAAATTCATTGCACTGACAATTAAAGAGACTTTGGGAATCCTGACGCTCCTGTCTGAACATTGTGACTACTTTATGTCAGGCTCTTCCTGTGCCAAATGTCAGTGGTTTTTTTCGTACAGTATATTCCCACTAGTGCAGCTAGTGGAGAACCAGGTGTACAATTCTTACCATCGTGTGTTGTAAGTACCCGTGGAATGGATTTGTAAGGTAATCTTTATAGATAAACCTCAAACAACGATTCATGTTGTAACAGCTTCATTTGGTTTAGTTTTCAAAAAACTTCACCATGAAGCACAATGTATATATTTATGCAGTTTTTAAAGTTTATAACAGTCTGTTTGGCCATTACTACACTTTTTACTTTATAATATAAAAGCAAAGTTTTTGTCATTAAATGAATGTCTGTTGAGCTACATTCTTCATTGCTTTAAATGCAATAAAGTAATAATCTCACTTTTATATGAATAATATATTTCACATCTTTATTATTGCAGTTTTCTCTGGAAAGCTCAGAGTAGCTTTCTCTGCTGCAGCTGTGTATAAAATATTTAAAATGTTGTATGGTGTAAATAAACCTTTGTCTACATATCAGTTTCTTAGTGCATTTTATTCTGTATTTGTTTATCTTAAATTTGCATACTTATAAATTTTTATTTAAAAACACACATATTGAATATGTATTTGGAGTTTTAATAGTATGTTGTTCTATCTCTTGCAAGGAGTTTCTAAAGCGTATTAGTAGGTTTGTATAGACATTCTGCATTTTCTTAGGTATTCTTTTGTGACAATGTACCGTATAAACTGGACTTGTCAGAATACTGTTACAATTGTTCTGTTTTATAAGAATTTTTGTTTTGTTGCAGAAAGACAAATAATGGAAAATAAGTTAAGTTTCAATGCACAGCACCCAAAGAAAATTTTGATTTAGAATCATTACATCTTGTGCATGGGATTGTTGCTGTATAACAACAAGAAAGACTTTAAAGATAAAAAAATCTGAAGTATTTTAGAAAAAAAAAGTGTGTTTCATATTATAAATCAAGAACAGAGCATGATTTATGTTGAAAATACAGTTAAACAGTTAAGAATAGAAAGACTAAATCCCCCTTTTCCATGCTTAGAACCAAAAGCAGATCTTCAAAATCTCTCCTCATCTACAGCCTATATGGGGACAGGGAGAGGAGGAGATCTCAAATCTTCAGAAGCCATAGTTCTAGACAAAAGTTTCCAAAACTATTATAGTTCCTCCTGTATGGACTTGAGTGTGCTGCAGCTTACTAGCTGGAGACCTCTTTGAGAGAAAGAAAACATGGCCACCAACCTCATTATGAAGAAAAAAAGACTAGAATAGAGGCTTGTCAGCAAGAATTGGTAGGAGGAGATCATCATCCATCCATCGAGAGAAAAGCACTTAGGATCGAACTTAGGACCAACCTTCAGGAAAGTGTCTCAGTCTGTAAATCCTTTCTCCGGGCCATAATAAGGTACTTAAGCCACAAAAAGTAGCCTGACTTTGCCTACTTTTGAGTGAGCATCTCATGCAGAGTGCAGACTTCTCTAATCTAACGCTTCAGCATAAATGCAAAATAACTAGCTACCAACGTGGTATCAAGCCCATGAGCTGGTTTAGGTGCCTGGAAGCTAGATGATGTAGTACTCAGTATTGCGATGCATCGATGGGTCAGAAGCGGCCCTTTATGAAGAGGCCGATGCAGAAGCAGGCAGCCGACAAGGTTGGCAATGCAGCCTACTAACGTCACCCCGCTGAGAGCAGACAGTGCACCAAAAACCTCTCTCTCTTTGTTTTACATCAAGTTCTAATCTAAAAGGGATTTATCTTCCCTTTAGGTAAAGATACAACAGAAACTGCACATTTTTTACGGATTTCATCCAGTATGGTAGGCATCTCAAGCAGAGCGGGTTTTACAAAATCCCTAATTTTTGAGACCAAATCAGGAAGCTTAGGCCTCTGAATCCAGATATAAGCCTTAGCATCCTCCTTGAATGATCTAAACATAATACAAATCTAGAGCACCTTGGTATTTCAATAACTTACTGCAGACATAATCTGCATAAACTTGATGTCACCTAACTCCTGGTCGATTAACATTCTACTTACAGCTGCAGAAAGCTTAGAGTAGGCTGCAGACTTACCCAGGAAACATGATAAATTGGTCTACACTTAATACAGTTCTGACCCAGTTGTGCTGTTGTTAATAATCCAGTTGATTCAGGTTTAGCATTAGACTGGATGTTTATGTACCACACGGCAGTCGCAGATGCACTTCCAGTGTGCAAGCAGCAATGCTCAGCGCCTTTTTATTTAGAGCTTGTGCTGCCCTGACCAGAAGGTACTAGGCATTTCTATTTTCCTATATATTTCATTTTTAGAAATATTAAAAACGTGCTGAAACCCAGTGTATCTGCCTACTGATTTTACTGCTTCATATTAAAGCAGAGTTTGTGTTCCATAAGCAAGATGCCACACGTACTTACAGTTTGCTGCTCGATGGCTCTGAAATGGTGCAAGTCAGACTGAATCCAACAGGAAAGTACAAACTTGTATGCACTGGCTTAAGTGTTGGTGAAGCACTGGTGAGATGTTTGGCATCATCCTATATGCAAATAAAAATTGAGTCAGAACTCCCTACGTTATACTAGATGCAGAGGTAACAGGGGACCTTGCATTTGCCTGCCAGCGTGGGCTGGTGCCACTCAACACGCCGTGTGCTACCTCACCCGGCCTCCAGCTGCAGTTACAGAAAGGTTCAGGTGTTTGAGGGCTCAGCTAACCAACGTTACGGCACATGGCACTACAGTGTATTGAGGCAGTTGAGCTCAGTCTAGAGTTTACCTTGATCCAATTTAAAATACATATTCCCTAGATGTATATAGAAAAAACAAATACCTTTTGGGGAAAGGCCTCATTTTCGCAACAGTTTAAATACACATTAGTAATCATACAAGACCATATGCAGTTCCTCTATCTCTGTCTTCCTCTGACATATGTATACAGAGAAAGAATTTTTCTGGCAAGTCAATGCTAAACAAAATATGTCCTGGACTTTTCGGTACAGGGAAGCAGTGCATACAGGAAATCTAGCTGAGCAGCCATAGATCACTGAGACAGCAGTTCAAGATAGCCATGATTTCACATCCAAGGCTGTGTAAAGGGGTTTGGGGTTGCCAGCATGAAAGTGCTAACAAAGTTATTTGCTACATGGACTCTGGCCAATGTGATGTTATTTAACCCGGAATCTTCTGGGGAGGTAAACTCTGAATTAGTCATTACTGAATTTCAGCTCATACTCTGTAATATCTCTCAGAAAGAAGAGGAAGAAGGAAAGAAAGACTAGGTGCTGCTACAAGGGATGAGAGGAAGAAAGAACAGCAGTGCTGCCATGTTGATGCACCTTTGGACTGCCATGGGCTTAATGTTGGTATATTTTTAATGCTAATGACTCCTTATGATGAAGATTCAAGACAGAGCTGTAGCAAAAGACACAAACACGTAAGGGTGTTTCCATTTCATTCACTACTGGGTCTGAATTTCTTCATAATCAGTGAAACATTTCTCTTCTCTAAGGAAATGTTGTCCTGATGCTCCTCCTGTAAGTACATCATTTGCTTCCGTGATGATAAATCACCAAATATTGTTTTACACAGAATTAAACTGGGCTAGTTTCTTTTAAAAACAAAAAAAACCCCCAACCAAACAAAAAGAAAGAAACCCAGAGCTGCACCAGGTGAAATGTTCTCTGATGCTTTGGTTTGTCTCCGTTTCCCATAGTTGCTAGGCAATGCTGTACTTAGAGACCAGATTTAACAAAAGGTCTGCTTCCCGCTTGGAAGCAGGCATCCATCTGTCACAGCATCAGCAGTGTGCTTTCCACCGAGTTTTGCAAAAGGATAGGGAAATCTCTGTTAGCAAACAGCAGATGGAGACATTGTGTATAGAGCGTAGACGTTCAGTTCCTCAGGCGTTAGCTCGAGGCTGTGCTGTATCTCTGGATAAGCCACAGAAGTAGTTTGTATGAGCAAATGTTATTTCCCTCTTTCAGAAAGAGTTATAGGGCTCTCTTGTGCAGTCAAGCCCATTCTCACGTGCTGAGGGAAGTAAACAGAGCGGTATCCAGCTAAATACGTGTTTGAGGAACTGTGATTTGTTTCGAGCCAGGTCTCAGTGCAATGCTGTAATCTCTTCTACTTTTCTAGAAACACCTTGCTTTGCAAAGAAAGCAAAAGAGACCTCACTAAGAAAAATTCAGTTGCTGACAAGATAGGCATGACTACTAACCCTAGCACTCCCACGGAAATGTTCTGTCTGTTAATTACAATTGTAAGGTAAAGAAAGAGCCATTTATCTGGTTTTGACAAAATTGTCTCTGGGATAGGCTGCATTGGACCATCCTGTGGCAATGAATTACTCAGATTAACCACACTACAGTGCTGCTTTTGTTTGTTTTGAACTAGTTTTGCTTTAAAACTCATTATTTCTTATAAGGAACAGTTAATAACTTTTACCAATTCAACTTTCTCTCTTGACGATGTAGCCTTCAGCTATAGGCCCCACAGCTACCCTTTTTCAGGATTGCAAACCCGCGCCCAGTTAGTCCTCCACATGGAAGGTCTTCTCTGATTTCTACCATCCCTGCCTCCCTTACAGCTTTTCCAGGTCTGCTAAAGTTATTGAATAATTCTCAGTAAATCCTGAACTCATTAGAACATTCTGTCTGATCCCTGCAGAAAAAGGAAAAACTCAACTACAAAGCTTCTAAAATGCCTTTTTATTTAGTAGGAGGAAAAAAAAACAAAACACCAAAAAAACCACCCCTGAATTTTAACTTTTTTATCTCACCATTTAATGGGAAATACATGACCATGTCTTTGAGCAAGAAATGGGCACCAGCCAACGTCTCTTAAGTTAATTGTCTTGACAAGTGAACTTTATTAACTTATTTCCTGCTGCTCCTCTCTGGTGCTGTGACTGTAGACTTTCTTTCTTAAGTAGCCCTGCTGCAGCAAGACTGGTAGAGAGTTATCTACAGCCCATTGGTTGGGTCTTACAGTCAGAAAGCAAGGACTATGTGAATCCTTTCATATGGAATAGTAGTCTTTTACCACATCCTGAAAGTGATTAATTCTGAGATTTTTCAGTTTTTGTAACCCCCCTTCCTCCAGCTGTGTGTTCAAAGAGTGATGTCCACTCACGGGCTGATTCTCTTTAAAACTGGGAGCTGGTGTTCATGACTGTTCCTCCATGTGACTACACTTACATGATACAATGCTGACCATCAAAAAAATCTATGTCCTTTTGTGGATCAAATCCTTAGGGGTTGAAATAATTTCAAAAATCTTGTTCTCAGAATCCAATTTTAAAAACATCAAGAAGCTAGTGTTTTTTCCCATCATCAATTCAATGATTTATTGCATTATGTCCCTAGGCTGTTGACTCAGGAAATTGCAAAAGGTGATGCCTGAAGGACCCCATAGTATAAAAAAGAAACTGGAATTGATTAGTATGTATGTTCAATTTCTTATTCAGTGTCTCCTTGGACATAGCCACTTTATTTCCTGCTCCTCTCA